ACGGTGTCTAACAAAAACGCCGGGAAACCAGATGGCCGAGCAATCATCACGTCCAATTCCACCACGTGTTATGAAAGTTCAGCGGGTCACGGCCTGCACGCCGGTCATCAAGCAATTAGCGCCCAAGCGGCCAATCATCTTCGATAGGGGAGTCCTTTACCATCATATTGACTGTATCTTATAAATACTGCAACTCCCTATGCATGAATTACCCGTTTTTGCTTATGTCTCTGATGAAAGGTCCGCGGCGAATTTCAAAAGGTCCGGCAAATCAAGGTTTTGCGCCAACGATCATATCTTCTTCTTCTTATCATAACATCCTTATCCCATAAATACTGCAAAACCTAAACAAATATTATCTTTAAGGGGTTCGGCCTTTAAATGATGGATTTATATGCCAGTCGAAAATGCTGGTCAAATAGAGTTCCTGTTCTAGCAATTGGATTAGCTTCTTCCCGGATGCCACATAGAATCCAGCTCTTAATTTCTACCGGCAGTCTCAGAAATGTTAATAAATATCGATTATTTTGCTGAGCAATTGTCATGTAGAGCCCAGGAGACAATTTCTTCCGCATTTTTTTACAGGAAGATCGATTTTCTGCTGATCACATGAAGATTGATCCCTCAATAGAGCACGTCGTGGACTACCCACTTTATTCCCTGGACGGCAACGTTGCTGGTAGGTCAGCGTCACTTTCTACCTTTCGTCACCCTTTGCATTTTATACAAAATTCAAAGAAATTTCCACACTCCTTGTTATAATCCAGTCTTTTTCCAAAAAAGTTTATTCTTTGCATTCTAAGCAAATGTGCGATTCCTTGAGATGCTTGCATTCCAGTTTATACGAAACAATTACGTGAGCTTGTCACTGACCGTAAGCTGAATTAATCTAGTGGGCGCATCTGTTTTAAGTTTAAAGATGTGTATCTTTAAACTTAAAACAGATGCGCCCACTAGATTAATCCAGCTTACGGTCAGTGACAAGCTCATGTAATTGTTTCGTATAAACTGGAATGCAAACATCTCAAGGAATGCAATTTCAAGGAAAGGCGTCCTTTGGGAAAGTGAGGAAATTTATTCAGTAAATTTTTGACACTAGATCCGTAGGTCGTCGTCTGACTCGAGAAAAATGTGCAAAGAACAATTAACCTTTCAAAGTGTTGATGCAGTTATATACTCGTCTAGTGTGGGCGCTAATTTTCCCAAAGGACGTCTTTCATTGAAAAAGCTCATGTACTATTAACCAAAATCCAGAAAGGCGTTTTTGCTTAAATAATGATTATCGTGCAACACTATCTGAATATATTCCAAATATACTGGGCTGCCGGCTTTCAAATACACCTTCCTTGGCCACCTACAACAACTGCCTTGAGACAAAAGTGACAACTTATACATTCTGAAGGTTTTCCATTGGTTTTCAATTTCTTAATATTTAAATGTATTTTATAGGAGACTAATCCAGACCATGATTCCTTCTACCCATTTTAAAGCGGATCACGCTTTCCTTAAACTAAACACTTCGA